TGGTTTTCTTACATAAGCAATCCATGTCTTAAAACCCACCATTTGTTGTTGTGATGTTATGGCGGCTCTTTTCCAAATTCCATATGAAAATGTCTTTTAACAATGATAAAAGATTATGATTTGGCATATTCCAAAGCACAGTACGCTTTCAAGTATTCATGTTACATACCGCGAAAACCATGAAAACATCTATGCAGCTAGCCCTTCCACTAGGATAAATCTATAAAGAATATTTGTTAAATTTTAAGAAATTAAAATATGGTACTTAAATTTAGACTGAATCATAAAACTGACATCAAAGAAATTTACTTGGTAGTTGAACCTATGGAGAATCCAAGCATTATAGTTAGAGAAAAAGGAGGGAATGGAATAACCACTTAATTATTGAGATTGCTTTGAAAGGGGAAAATGTTGTCTAAATGGAAATTTTATTTTAATATTGTAAAGGTCTTATTTTATCCTGGCCAATTATTTTTAGTTTGACTTTCCCTTTCCTCTTGATTTCAGTTTCTTGCTGGAATATAAATTGTAATGACGTCGTATGCAAAATCTAAATGTGTTCAGAAACAGTATTAAGCTGCAGTTTCAAGAGTTCGTGAGGAGTAGTAGCGGAGTTAGTTTGAAGTTTATGATGCGTGTTTCAAATAGCTGTCTTGTTGGTGTTAGCCACCCTCTTCAGATGATTGATCTAGGTTTGGCATTGCTGTGTGCAGCCAATTTAGCAGTTTAGATAAATAAGGAGGCAATCGTTTAGCCATCCTAATTTATTGTGATTTTACAGTTTTATTTTCTGTTCAAACAATTTAGCTGCAAGTGGTGGTGAATTGCAAGTGCATCTTGTTATGTTAGTTCAAATAAAAAGGTTATTTAAACCTTCATCCGTAATTTCTGTTCTTCAAAGGCATAACGAGAATTCACTATTTCTTCAGTGGGATCTGCAGTTTATGCTCCCAAAAAGATATAGACTCTGCAACATGTACGATGCTATTTCGATTAACAGTGCCTCTACCAGCAATTTCATAACCAGATAAAACTTGTGTAATTGTAGCTTTGCCAGATAAAACTTGTACAATTGTAGCTTCAATACACAATTTGTACTATTCTGTTATTTGTGTCCCATTCAATATGAAATAGTATTTTGTTTAATTTGAGTAGTTGAATAAAATCACACATTAGTTTTGAATGAAATTACACATTAGTTTTGTTAGGTTTTAACTAGAACCACTATAAACAAACGAGACATGAATGCTTGTAACCAGATTATCTTTACATGCCTAAGAGCCCGACCAACGGCTAAGCGGTAAAATTGCTGAACACTGGTAGTTGAACTTGGGATCAAATCCCAGCAAATGGGTTGGCTGCATGGTTAATTTTCATGGTTTTACCTATGGGTAATGTGAACACGAGTAGTTAAAAAGTCCTCCACAAAGTCATTCCTTCTCATAGGCAGGAAAGCTCGTGACTCAAAGTTGCTTTGCCTTAATCAGTTACCCTAACTTAACCTAACCTTTGCACATTAAAAAACTCATTGATCTACAAAGTCTTTACTGGGTTCTATTGAGCCTTGAATTCCATTCCTCAAAATGTTATCAGTCAGTAATAAGCTAAACATATAGTCCTCATTTGTTTTGTCTTTACTTATAATTTGCATTGTGTGGTCCTTTTTGACCCCAAGCAAATTTAAATTTACCATCTCTTGAAATATCACCGAGTCTTATTTAGTTTTATGGCTTTTTAATAATATGACACTAAAAGCTTTATTTGAGTTCAGTGTGTTTTTCTAGAATGAGAAGAAACTATTCTATAACACTGATTGCATATGTATTTCTTTTGCAAACTCTTGCATCTTCTTGTAGATTAAAATAGTAGCCCTTGCTTTATTTTAAGTAAATAAATATTTTTTGTTTAGATTTTGGAACAATGGGAAAAAAATGGTTAAACAAAGTTGATGTGTTTAAAGATAGGTGAGAATGACTTTAAAGAAGATCTGAATTACAGTTGCAGTTATGACATGCAATCTGCGTTATGCGATGAGTATAAAGAAGACATCCAGATTTCAAATTAGCATGCATCTTTCTAGAATGCCATAGCATTTTACATAAAATATGAGAGCTTATTCATAATCTGAAGCTGTGTGATGAAGATAAAGAAAATCAGGTTTTAAATTTCATCATCTTTCTGTAATAACATATGATTTTTTGTAAAATATGACAGGTCTGCTAAATAATGTTTGCACCCTACAGTGCAGTATAAGAACTTACTATACGAAAAGTGCATTTTATTTAATCTAAGAAAAATCCTTATATCTTTCTAGATTTTTCTTCGTTAAAGGTTTATTTCAATCTTAGTTTTATCATATTTGTAAAGAAAAATTTGACTGACATTTGAGTAATGAATTATGATTTTTCAATCAAATAAATTTTGAGAAAATTTGGATGGTTAAAAGAAAGAGAAAATTGAAAAATGATAGGTTTTTTTTAAAACCGTCAAATAAAGGTTTAAATATTGCTGTAAGATTAAAAATGTCTAATTCCTCTGATTGCAGTTGTGTATGGGTGTTTAGAAATGCATGAAATGGAAAACTGTAAAAGCAAAATAAAGTGAAAATAATTTTTATTTTAAACTTTATTTACATAAATGTTGTGTTTAATTATGTATATTTAATTGTGTGTTTTTATTAAAATTCAGGATATGGAAGTTTATTTTTCTTTAAATATAACAAATATTCATTTAAATTCAATTTAAGATTAAAAAAAAAACATTGAATTGGTTATTTGTTTATTAACTCTTTGAAGGGTGGCGGTTACTTACAGTAACCATCTTTTCTATTGAACGTCTTACTCACTCGTGTGAGTATTTTTCAAGACTGACTGTTTCTGAAGTTCCCTTGTAGCTCACTAGATGGCAATAAAGAAACATAAGCCAGTAGTTGATGCAGCAATTCGTCTTCAAGAATATAAGCATCAGCTATCGAAAACAACATCACAACGATGTGCACTCTGCAGCACCTGTAAGAACAGTGTGGGAATGCAACACATACAAAGTTGCACTCTGCTTGAAAAAGATAAAACTGTTTCCATGAGTACCATAAAGACTGATTTGTAGGGATGTGTTCTGTGGGTGGTGGTCACTGACACTAACCATGAGAAGGGGTCATTTTTTTCACGCGTCTTGGACAAAATATGTGTAATTGTTGCAAATAATTTCATTGTAACACCTGATAAATAAAACAAGAGTTTTGCTGAAAGAATTAATTGCATTTTCCTGCCTCTCAAAGAGTTAAACCATGATGAAAAGTCAAATAATTTTTAAAAAATAAAAAAGCACTCTTTTGAGTTACACGAGGGATCGCCCTGGGTCCAAAAGACCAGGCTCATGTTTTTTGAAGAAGAAGCTTTTCATCTTCAGGTAAAAGTGTTACATTTATGCCAAAACTTTATGATTAAAATTTAAAAATATGCAAACTATAAAAATTAAAATTTTAATTTCAATTTCTATAATATTTTTTACGAAATAATGTTTTTTAAAGGAATAAAAAATGATATTCTATTAATATAGAATTTATTAGAAATTTATTATGTTATTAATCAGGTTTATTAGGAATGTACTGCCTAAAAGAACATCTTTCTCAGAAAGCTTCAAATTTTTCATCAATTGAATGAACTAACCGACTGTGTAATTTCATCAATGAACTAATCGACAGTGTAATATTTCTGGCAGTTATTCACATAATCTTAAAAAACTCTAATAGGTGCAAGTTTATCTGATTCTTTCTTGATGACGCGAGTTCCTATGTCATCAAAATGCAGGCATCTTGATTTAAAAAAATCGTTTGTAGAACAGTTTTGTGGAAAATTCCGAAGCCGTTTCTATCTGTTGCCCACAGATCCCATACATTTACATGAGAGGACTTATGCCACAGAAGTATAAAAGACCTATAAAAGCTTGAATTTCAGTTAGAGTTGTGTGATGAGCATCTTTCTCTCTTTGAGAGCTGAAATGTATGCAACATAAATACTTGTATAACTGATGACTTTCACCAACATTTGTTAGTAAAAGCTCCGACGATTCCTTTTTGGGTCTACACATATTTTGCCTTACTGATGTTTCCAGGCAATTTAGTAATAATATTATGAGAAGGAGTTCTGACATGAGCTTTAGGCTTTTCTCATTTTCATTTTAAGAATGCATCTCGATTTCGGAATCAGTATCATGAGAACTGAAAAATTCATTATAACTTTCATCGTCAGTTTCTTCAATGGAGTCTTCAACAGTTGATACATCTAATAATTTTTGAAAACGTAACATTTCTTCCTTATAGGATAAATTATGCACAGGGGCGTAACTAGAGGGGGGCAAGGGGGGCATCTGTCCTCGGGCGCAGAATCCAAGAGGCGCCAAACTGAGTGGGAAATCTTCTGTTGTCCCTTGGGCGCTGAAAACCCTAGCTACCACTCTGATTATGCGACATGTTTGCAGCTTTCTGTGCTACCACAAATGAACTACATTACAGCAGTGTGAATAGGCGTGCTGGTTTGAAAGACCCGATCCTATCAAAACAAAACTTCGAATCAAATTTCCGGCAAAAAACTTCAGAAATATGAAGAGGATAGCCTTCAAAGAGACTACACAGAACCAAAACCACTTGGGGAAAATAGGCTCGTTTTCAGAAAGGTTTCTCTAGTCGGGCTGGGTCCAATCGCTCACAGGTTAATATTTATATTACTGAAGAAAAGTCTTACAGGTTCAAAACGATCTGACCACAGTACGTATGTTTTGATGTTAAAAGTTAACTAAAAATACAATGCATTATTTTATTTCATATCTCCTCATCATAGTATATTAAAACTGCTTATTCATATTTTTTGTTGTTGTTTCTTAATATACGCTTTACAATAATATGCTTTACAATTGCTTTACAGAAATATGCTTTACAATTGACACTAGCTATAAATATATATTAATATTTAGTGATTTAGACCATTTAAACTCCTTTCCAGCTTCAATGGATCCTATGGAACTAATGCGCCAGATGCGAGAAGATGGTTTTGGTTTAAAAGAAAATGTTCTTGGTCACCATTTAAATCCCAAAGAAGCAAATCAGGTATCTGATGGAAAATAAATATTTTTGAATGCTTTACTAAAATACAATTTAATTTGTCATATAATTTCAAAGAATGTGGCTGCTGAGTTTAGAAATGAGGTATATACTTACTTTGCTGTTGGTGTATATACAGTCAAAAGTCGTTAATCCGGACTCATCGGGACTTTGGCGATTCCGGATTATCGATTTTTCCGTATTATAGATCATCAGTTTAAATCTAGTAAGATGGCATGCAGAAATTACAAAATTAAAAATATGAAACCGTAATTTATGAAATAAAGAACAATTATCATCTAAAGGGTATCAAAATTTACAAAAAGAAAAAGCTTAATATTTATTTGTTTACATTATTAAACATTTCTTTCAATGTAAGTTAAGTTGCTTTGTTTCATGTGATAATACTTTCTCTTTAATTCTGTTAAACAGACATAATTTCTTGTTTAGTTACAAAGTTCCGCTGTTCAAGTCCTATAATTGCTGTGTCGAGAATACCGACCAATTTGTCAATCGAAATTTTTTCGTTTTCAATAACCTCTGTTACTTTCTTCACTATTGGAAGCGAATTATAATGACGAGGAACTTGTTTTAAATCATATCAAAGACAGAGCACATCGAGATGAAATACTACACTTAGTAAGGAATTATAAGCCAAATAAAATGAAAATATCTGCCCTGAATATAAGAATAGTGCTGACAGATCAACTTCCAATTCATCGCGTGCCGCGGCGTTCCCCCCGCCGAGCAGCGTGAAATTGATAAACAGATTTTGGATTTCGAAACATACTTTCGCTTTAGATCCTTTACATATTAACAAATATATATTGGAAATTTTATTTGATATAATCAAATAAGTTTAAGCTTACTTTTATAAAATTGCTCTAACAGTCTGCAAAAAATAATAAGCCGGATCCAATTCGAAGATTAAGGAACAACGCAATCTGCAACATTAACTGAATTAGATAATTTTAGCTTAGCTTACACCATCCGTTATACATTGAACGCGCATGCGTAAACGTTTTATGGGCATGCGCACAAGCATATTCGCAGCTGTAAAGGTCTTAAGCGCGCACGTAAACGCCTATGCGCATGTGTCAACGTGACGCATGCGCAGAAAGTTTGTAGCTTTAAGGTCCAGATTATGGGTGTCCGAATTAACAACTTTTGACTGTACTTACTTTGCTGTTGGTAATTCTTATTCCTTTATTATTAGTAGTGTATTTTGTCTTATTTTTTAATCAATTAATCTTTTTAATATAATGTTACTTTGTGCTGTTGCAGAAAAACTCTTTATATTCCTATACGGTGATGAATTTAAAATGGAATAACATTTAAATGGATATTTTATGAATATAAAAAAAAAATTATCTTTATATTAATGAAATGTTGCTTTGTAAAACATTGTGGTTTTTTTATTATTATTCATAGAGCAATTCATAGTTAGACTTTTTCTTACCTTATTTAGCATTTTAATAATAAAAAAAATATGAAAAGTTTTTTAGGTAGTGTATTTTTTACATCTTCCAAAAATTGCGCTAATATTACAACATAAAAAAAAATGTACAGTAAAAAAAATCCTTGAATGAATGTTAGTGAATGAAATGCAGAAATGTTAGTGAGCATATCAAAAAGCTGATACACTGAAAAGGGAAATATTATTTTTAAAAAATAGAACTCAGTAAAATGAAAGGGGGGATACTGCTAAATTTGCAACATGTATATTCCCGAGGAGACTAGAGAAGACAATATTTTTTTTTTCTGCTTTCACAGAAATACAAAGTATGTTCAAAAGCTTCATTGTTACAATATAAGAAATTATATAATCCTACATCTCAGTATAAATACTTTTTACTTCCTTGTACAAAGTAAAAAGGAAGTATTGTAATTGCGAAAAGTTTCAGGCATCATATTTCAACGCAAATATCCATTTTCACCACTATCGAATGCAATTTAACAATGTTTTTGCGTGACATCTGTACGGAAGGACAGAATAAAGGACTCTTTTACCCCAAAAAAATTGTAAAACTAATTTAAAATGAATTCTGAAGAGAATGTTTTATGGCGTCTGTGTGTATATAGGACTGCTATAACATGTTAGATGTGCACCTCATATTTTGGTTGCAATCGGCTGCACCAAAAATATATGTATATATATCCACTCTGTTATTCGGCTCAGTGATCTCAGTTTTTTTATTCTTGTATGTTTGTAAATTGTGCATTTTTTGCTTTAAAAATGATTGAATTATGTTATTCTTATCTTCCGATTAAGGTTTTTATGCCTTTAGTAAATCTGTATGCAATATTTTTAGAATTATCAACAATTTAAAAGTTTTTTTTAAGTGCCACTAAGCCTAATAATTCTTTCCATGGTGGCCATTGCTTGTTTACATTTGAAACAGCAGAATAGTAGATTTGTTGCCAATCTAGAGAAAGTAAGCTTCGCAATAACAAAGATAACGCCTTCTTTTATTATTGCGAATTAAATCATGCTTAATCCATTCTGGAATTTATTTGAGGAAATAAGCGTTTAAGAATTACTTCATAATTTTCAATACATACATCTTGAGTTTTAATGTACTTTTACTTTGTCGCAAAGTGAGAACTGAATTAATTGAATGAGAAATACTGAATCGTCTGTGAAAAACTGTTTCTTATTTTGTTTGCTTAATTTTTTTTATACATTGTTTTAGATTTATTATAGTATTTGAATGGGACATGTGGCACGATTAGGTAATTCTTCAAAGAATATAAATTTTGTGCATTCTGAGTTATAATATGAACAAAATATAAAGCTGTTAAGTGAACCTAGTGCCAGAGTGTCACTATGGTAAACAAATATAGATTATTTTAAAGAGTGCATTTATTCTCTTGTGGTTTATGCGCTGTCGACGAAGTAGATTTAATTCAATCCAATAAGTTTAAATGAAATGCAAGAAAAAATGGGTATAATTTAATATTCCGTACAAGAAAGTCGTGGGGCACACATAAGAGTTTTTGATAAGTCATATTGTTTCAGTTATTACATCTTTTAGCTTAAATTACTAAGTAATAAACCTAACTCTTTCAGACTTCTTTCTGTAAATTTATAGAATTACTGTTTTATATTGCATGTGATTTTATGTTAGGGCTTCACATTTTCTCTTTCCAATCAAGTTTATATTTTTTTAGCTTAACATGTTTGCTGCCAGTCACGTGCAAAAGCATGATGTGATGTTTTCATCTAAAGCACTTTATTTTCATGTTAGTCTGCATTGTGTCGTACATATGTATAGATGTGATAGTAAATGTAGTAAATTTTACTTTTGTTTTTATATTTTCGTGCAAATATTTTTCAAAATTTTCTCATAATGAAAGTGATAGAAATGATAATTTGTCAAGGATTTGCTCACTTATGATAAAAATCCTAAGTGAGCAAGATATGAATACAAAAGACATTAACAAATAAAGAACTTGTGGAATGGAAAACAGCTTATCAGAGCAGTGGCCATCTTGAAATGGAAGTTTGGGAATGCTTCCTTATGTTTGAAAACAAGTGTTATCTAAGCTCTTTGTTATTGTCTAAAATAAGATCAAGCTTAAATTTTTTTCCATTTAATATTCTGTGTTTTAAATATTTAATGTGTAAAAATAGGTATGTTTCCAAGTAATCAAATGCTGCTGTTTATATGAATATTTTTTGGTGATATTACTCCTATTGAATGAAAGTGAAGTACAGTGAAACCTTGATTCACAAATTTATTTAATTTCTGAAGGCCTTTCATGAACTAAAACAATTTTTAATTCATCCCTGAACCAACAGATGACTGTTTATATAAACTTTACAGCATTTAGTGAAAAATGCTTAGGAAGCTGATATTGTTTGGATGCAAAATTTCCTTCCATAAAAACATTGGTTTAACTTTCTTAAGCAACAGCATCTTTTCTTCGTCTCAAGCACAAATGGACTTTTTTGAGACCCACTGGGCTTGTGTTTTATTCAAAAATTTTCCCAGTGTAATTTGCTGCTGCCTTTGAAATGCTTCTAAAAGTTAGACATAGCACTGTCGTTGGAAGCTTACTACTTCTTTATCAGGACAAAATCTTTATATGAAAACTTTATCCCATTTTGCACAAATTTTGCAGATCTTGGAACTAGTTTATTATTATTATTATTACTCTTCTGAAAACATTTCTTCCAAATCACCTTTTAATGCTGCTTCTGAAATTAGATCTTTCATGTTAAATTCATTTTTATGTTCCTGTAGTAAATTCTACATGTCTTCATTGTTCATTTCCTAGCTTATGGTTTTACCTAGAAAGGTAACAAAAAAGATCCTAAGCGTCAACTCCATCCTGAGCAACTCAGTCTGGCCTTTATTTCTTCTATAGCAGCATTCATGATCTTGTAAGTCACTTGGTGCCAGTCACTAATGAAAAATGGGAAATATTAAAATGATGTTTTCAGAAGTCTCCGAGTATTAATTATGTGACACAGAGGTTACCTGAAAACACCTTCAAATATTACATGTTGCTAGATTGAATGTTTGGAACTTGAGATACCATTTATCATCTGAGACATTTTTTTTTTTTTTTCCAGTAGGTGTTCATGATCTGATGTTTTGGTGTGTTGCCAAATGCAAAAGAACCGATATATTACATTCATTTTCAATGTATGAAGAGCACAATTCTGCCTTAGAAACATACACTCAAATCCAGCCTTAATGAACTTTAAAAGAATATAATTTTAGTTCCAAAAAAAAAGGAGGGGCAGGGAATCATCTTACAAAATACCATAAAAACAGATTGATTTTTCACAAAATATGACCAAAAAGAAGTAAATATTTCAATTTTGTGCAGTCATATTAAGGATCAATTGCAAGTTTTAAGTACAATGACTAAATTTCTTTGTCAACGTTTTTCAGTTTTATCATACGTTAATGTTTTTACATGGTAAATTATGTGCATAAAAGTCATAGTTTAAACTCATCCCTCTAATTACACATCTCCATCTAAAATACATATTTATAATAGCATTGTTCATGTAATGGCAGATTACAGCTTCTTTTCAAGGTGAATTATTTTGGCATTGCTTCGTCAGCATACATATGCTTGGTCTTTGTAATTTTTTTAATTCAGATTTTTTCCCCCTAAACGGTTAAATTATCAATTCTTGGTTTTTCTATAGGGTACCAACTATAAATTTGGATAAACTATATATTTGGGGCAAATATTGATTTGACTATAGCCATTCTGTATTTTTCAAATAATGCTCACCTTCACTCTTTCATAAAGTATGTTATTCACTTACTGCTCGTCAAGCAGATGAATTCGAAATTGAAAACGTCCTTCATTGTATGCAAGGTTTGCTGTAGTGGAATTTAATAATAATTTTATGCCATTATAATTTTTCTAAATATGTTGTTAAAATATTAATTTCTGCTATAAAATATTGGTCGAGAATTCAAAGTACTTAATGGCAGAAAGTTTAGATTTTATTATGTTCTGATTTGTATGATATTTATAGCTAATGCATTTATTTATTTAGCAACTCATTCCAAGTGATGAAAGTGATCCTGAAATGGAATTCCTTAAATCACTCTCAACTTCAGAAAAAAAGAAGCTGCTGAGGTATATTTTTATTATCTACTCTGATATGGATTTACATAAAATCCATATCTCGTCTATCTATTAGATATGGATTTACATAAAATCCATATCTCGTCCTTATGCTATCTCTTGATCAATACGATTCTGGTCAGTGTGGGTTTAACAAGCACAGTCAAACTTATGACCATTTTTTGATTTTCATTAAATTTGTTTTACCATACCCCATTATAAGTTCATAAGAAGATTTCATGTATAGACAGTAGCCACTGAATCAATTATATTGTGTGTTTTTGGAAAATAGAAAGGAATGCAAACACCAAGTAAAAATCTGATTATTTACATCATATGCAACTTGCATTCCAGTAAATATTCAATTAAAATAGCAGTTTGTGTTGTAAAAACACAGAAGAATATGCATCCCAAAAATTTATAGAACATAAACTTCTTAACAACTTGTGATCAGTTTCAAATTACTGAATACTTCAAAGTTGCCTCATTATTCCATATGGCATCGAATACACATTTCTAAATTGAGAGAACTATGTTTTGTATTAACTCTGGTTCCACGTTGACCACATTGAACTCTCCAAGACATGATGCCTCTCATAGACTCAACTGAATTAAAATCGGGGCTTATCGGTGGCCACTCAAGAGCAGTGACATTTTTCATGTCTAAATTATTTCTTGTAGCATTAGAGGTATAAATAAGAGCACTGTCATTCTGGTACCCCTGATTCTGTCCTGCAGTGTTTTCTGCAAATGGTAAAAGATGGTCTCTTAGTGTTTCTATGTATTTAAACGAATCTTGCCAGCCAGAAATGTGAAACCCATGTGCCCATTGAAACCAAAAGTTGCCCACACCATTAAAACTCACCTCCACCTGTTCTTAATGAAATAGCCCCGAGGCTGTTTTTATAAGTCATGCTATTAATATGAATACCTGCCAGAATCATCTAGATGCCAATTTTTTTTCGATCACTGAAAATTAGAGATCCACTTGTCACCATATGCCATGTGGTTAAGGAACTTTTCAATTTCATTTGTTTGTGAAGCTTTGAGATGCTAATGATCAAGCCATTTTTATGTGAATCATGTATCCAGATTCCTTGATTTGCCTATGAACAATGTTTTTTGATATTTGCTCTTGTAATTTGGCGAACTAACTTTTTCTGTGTTGACGTCATTCATTGTATTCATCTATCACTGCGACTATCAGTCACTCGAGGTCTTCCTGAACATGGGTTTGGCTATGTGGCATCTTATGAGACAGTACACGATAAATCGCGCTTGCGGGATCGATTCAGAAGTTCTAAATTTTTTTAACAGACCTACCATGCAAGTTAAAGTTCAGAATGCTATTAACTCCGGCATCAGAAAGTTACATAACTTTAGGCATACTTAAACACAATTAAAATAATCTTTTTCCTTTTTTATATTGAAGTTTGAATGAGGGCATTATTATATAGAAAGTTCGAGTTCCCAAACATGAATGTTGCTAACCAATTTGCATAAAATTACGTTTGTGTATAAACTTTTGGGACACATTTTTTTTTTTAAGACAAATTGATATTTTTGTTAAATATTTACTCAGATGCAAGGCACATGTGTTTTAAATAAGTTAAATAATTGGGCAATTTTATACATTTATATTTTTCTTAAACATGTAAATTTACTTAAGTCTAAAAACTGTAGGGACAGAGTGTAAATGTTTTGTTTATGTTAACAGAAATAATGCTTTATTTGATTCATAGGGAAGTGATTGCTTTAGATTGGAAGTAAACAAGATTGAATATGGTGGGGAAAAAACCACCATATTCAATCAGTGATTGTCATACATTACTCATCAGTCATATATTCAGTTCAGTGATTTTTCATACAATAAGTAGAGTGTAGAATGAGTAGATATAGAAAATTGCTTCCATGTCATTAAATGGATCATTTATGAAATCAACTTAAATGTAACTTTTCAAAAACAAACAACAACAAACAAAAAAAAAAAAAAAAAAAAAAACAGATTCTCTAATAATAATAACACACAAATAAATTAAGAATTATTTTATTCACAGTTTTTATTGCAGTATGAATACATTTCTTCAGTTAGCCATTGATTTATTATATAGAGTATATATGTTTGTGTGTGTGCGTCAGATGTAATTAACAAATTAAACTTAATTGGAACAAACTGGCAGTAGACTCTTAAATTTCTAATTTTCAATTAAAGCACAGCCCCCTTCAAGGCATTTTCCCTGCAGTAACCACATTGTGAAAACTCTTTCCCAGTCTCTGCAGGATCAAAACGAAGTGCTCCAAGATTATAAATGTTACTGCAAGTATTGTGCACTCTCTTTTGCCTCCTAAAGGGCATGTCTCGCGTGGCTGCTTTTGTTCATTATTATAAATGTAATATGTCATAATTAAAACTGTGCAATGTGGATTGCCCGCATTGTGCTGTGCCATGCCATAAAGTAATGGACAAGTAATAAAGATATGTTAAGATTATCAAGTGATTTTTTCTAATTCTTCGAAAGTTCCCATCATCTTCTACTATGTAGTCGATATTTCTGTGATCTGACTTCAACCCACTCATGAGTACAAAATAATTGGTGTCTTCCCTAATCGAGCATGCATCTAATATCACTATATGCAACAAAACAAAATTAGCATCACATATAGGACTTCACCATGTGATTCATAACACGTATTTAATGATAAGTTATTTAGGAGATACTCAAACCCTTGCAAAATAACTAGGAATTGCTTTTTTAAACGATATCGAGACATGAGGCTCGGCAGCTACTTGGAATCTCGCCAAACCTTTTAGAATCTGATTTAGAAAATACACATACGAACATTTTTAAATATTTTATTTACATACATACTTTCTTTGCACATACAAAGTTTTTCAAAATGTGTAACCATTATCCTTCGTAGTCTGGCAATATGCGGAATGTCTTGTGGTAAACTGTTCAAAATCTCTTTCATCACTGGAAGATACTAACTCGCACTTGTTAAGAGTTGACTTTTTTTCCCATTCCATGTAATCGGTGATCAGTTTTTGTGCCGACTGTTGTTTTATTAAATGCTTGTATATGTCTCTGTAGCCAAATATACAAGATCGAAGCTCCTTTTGGAATTTTGAAGTTCTTTCAGAACTAGCATCGATTGCAAGAAAATGACATTTTTATCGATAATCTCATCAATTATGTTCCACTTTGAAATTTTCATATACTGCACAAAAACATTTACACAAAAACAGGTTTGAGTGTATATAAAATTAATAACATCTTATTATTTTACAGAAACATATACATTCTTGCATCTTATGCTTTTTAAGATTAACTCGAATTCTCTTTCTATACGTGCAGTTAACAGTTAAGCTCCACTGGCATGAGAATAAAATACTTAGACCTTAAAGATTTTGTGGGAAAGAGGCAATTTAGAAAAGTTTTTATAAACAAGTTATAAAATTAAGCAGATTATTACAAATAATAAAATCATGAACTATATTTTTATATGTTTTTAATTAGAAGGAAAGTAATTGTTCTAATTTACATTAACTTTGTACTTTAGCTTTGCACATTTGCTTCATGTATACTTAGCCTACAAAGCTAACGTACATGTACAACTAGAAATAGGATGGTAAAAAGAGTATATTGATTTTAATTTTCAGACACTAGTAGTAACTTACCAGGTACCTAAGGTGGTTGTATTGATAGTACCATTATTATGTACTTATTTCTCTGAACTTTTGGGGGGTAATGAAACTAACCATATTTAGGTAATTATTGACATATTTCAATTATTATTTTTAGGAAATTGAAAAAACTATCAAAAAAGCAAGAAAAAAGTGCTCACTGCAAGAAGAAAAAGAGCAAAAAGACTCGAAAGCATAAATCTAAACATGCTTCAGATTCAGGTAGAGTTTTATAAAATTTCATTTTCACGTGTGCTTTATTAAATTGCATGCAAAAAACTACAGTATTCTAATAAGATGGATCAGTGATTTGTGAAAGAATGACATTGTATGTTTCCCATTATAGGATAACACGCACCAAATGCAAAACAACAGTATTCTAAATTGCACGCTTTCAAATTAATTGCCTTTTATTTTATGATACAGTCAAAAGTCTATAATCCGGACCTCAAAGCTATACGTTTACACATGCGCGTTTAATGTGCAACGGACAGTATAAACTAAGCTAAAATTATCTAATTATTTATTTCGGTCAATGTTGCAGATTGCGTTGTTCCTTAATCTTCTAATTGGATTCCGCTTATTATTTTTTGCAAACTGTTAGAGCAATTGTATAAAAGTAAGCTTGAACTTTCGATTATGTCAAAAAGAATTTCCGATTCTGGAGCTGCCAAAGGATCTACAAAGCGAAAGCATGTTTTGATGTCCATCAAACAAAAAAATGGAATTGCTGCAAAAAATGGATAAAGGCATATCCATTGTTTCTCTAACCATTCCAAAATCTGTTTATCAATTTCACGCTGCTCTGCGGGGGGAGGGACGTCGCGGCACGCAACGAACTGGAAGTTGATCTGTCAGCACTATCCTTATCTTCAGAGCAGATGTTTTTATTTTATTCAGCTTATAATTCCTTACTAAATGTAGTATTTAATCTCGATGTACTCTGTCTTTGATATGATTTAAATCAAATTCCTCATCATTATATATATCACGAATACACATCAAATAGCTTTCTGGTTGCAGTTTTCTAATTTCGACTGTGTGTAATGTATGCTTTACGTATGCATACGTTGAAAGAAATGTTTAATAAAGAAAACAAATAGATATAAAGCTTTTTTTTTTTTTTTTTTTTTTTTTGTAAATTTTGATACCTTTTAGATCATAATTGCTCATTTCATAAATTATGGTTTCATATTTTTAATTTTATAATTTCTGTATGCCATCTTACCAGATTTGAACTGATAATCTATAATCTGGAAAAACCTATAATCCGGAATCGCCAAAGTCCCTACGAGTCCAGATTAAAGACTTTTGACTATATAGCTTTGAAATATATTGCTTAAATTATACACTAAATTAAAAGAGTTAATTTGGGATGAAGAGAAAAGATATTAATATTTAATATTTATTGAACATGTAAATTTTACTTTTTTCCTTCACAATTTAGTTTTGAATTTTCCCTGCACTACTGGCTAAAAATTATATATGTGTATAATATCAGATATTAAATTCCACTTACCTACATATTAAAAAATTGTATGAGATTTTTGAAAATATCAACATTTTGTTCTCCACATAGCAATCGGTTTTGACAATTTATACAGACTTTTAAACATTTCAAGGAATAGATAAAACTGCTAAGTACCAGTGCTCTCTCTCTCTCTCTTCTCTCTTTTTTTTTTTTTTTTTTTTTTCAAAACAGCTATTACTCAATAAGGTCTGCAACTGCACTGATTATATAACTTACTAGCGGGCAAGCCCGCTTACCATTGTCCGTGTGTATAAGAGTAGCGATTGTAATTTCGCCGGTATGCGAAAGTTGGACCGAACTACAAGTGTACAGAGGTTATGATCGGGCTGCGCCGGCTTTGTTCACTTATGCATGGAGAAGTGACTGCATAAACGATACACATGCGTTAAAGCAAGAAAACACCCGGGAGCCAGCTCGTTCGCCGAGACCGAAAGTTGGATCGAACTACCAGCATTAAGAGATTTTGAGCAGGCTGCGCCCGCTTTTATCACATATGCATCCAGAAAACACTTTATACACTATACACATGCGGAAAATCACGAGAACACCCATGCAGCCAGCCCGCTCGCGGAATTTTTCCAGATAACCCATCAGCTGGAGTTAATAGTTTGATCAAGTTGGTCATCTTTTATTAATTTCCACAAGGTTGCTGTACTCAGAATTGAAGTTGAAAGAGAAGATTCTGTTGCAACATGGTGAAAACAAATTCAGAACTTTAGCAAAATTATGTTAATGTACCTGTTATTGATTGTAGGCTACTCACGGTGATAGTATGACTTTGGTCAACAATCATGCCAGTTCTGACACAAGGTGATTCTTATGATTTTGATCTAACTTTTCCTTTCCTTCATGATTTTTTGGCTTCTGAGGCATCTTTTAAATCGAAAAATGTAAGTCAATTTATAATTAATGCTCTATTCGGTTCATTTTAAATTAGAGAATTATTAGGAATTAGCGAAATACTTTAAATAAGTATTTCTCTAATTCCTAAATTAAATAGGTATTAAATAGTACTTTCTCTGAACATTTGAAAGAGAATAAATTTTAAGTATTATTTAAAACTTGTAACTGAGTTATTATAAAATGTAAGGGGAATAATTCTTTTAATTATACTTATCAGATTTTTTTTTTTTTTTTTTTTTTTTTTTCCCTTCATTTTTCAATACATTCTGAGCATCTCATAGCATTTGCTTTACAATACCTTTTAACAGATTGCTTTCCAATACGAACAATTCTTGCTTAAATAGTTTTATACGTATTTGTCAACAGGATTTCAATCTATGTTTACAATTCAATATTAAGGTTATTATATATATTTAGATTAACATTTATAATCATTATAAATTAGATACATTTAATAATTAGATTTCTTCACAGTACTTTCACAGTTGTTTATAAGTGAATAAATTCTTCATTTCAAATGCATTTATAAATAATTTAATGAATATTTAAGTATTTTGTCAAAGGCAGATACATGCTTTTTGCAAGCACATGCATAAATACCCATACATATTTTCCTATTTTTCATTACCGGCATGTGCAAATCTTTAATTGTGCATTTATATGTTTCGTGTAAAGTATTTACACTAATTTAGCATACCCCAAAGTTTTACATAAAAATATATATGAATATAATTTGAATGAAAATTATAATTAGTATATTTTTAATAGGTTTTTTCAGTTCAAAATTCTTCACGATGGCATCTTTCTCTTTAGGCAGATAGCCCTTGCATGCGTTAATTTAATCTGAACCTATGTGCCTAATTACAAATATTTTAACGTACATATAATTTTATATTATAAGACGTGTAGGCCCAAAGTGATTATTTTTCAGATATAAAAACTAAAACGATGGGTTTAAAATGCGCAGCAGTAAAGCCTCTCCTCTAAAAAATTTTGAAAGGTACTGTTAAAATAATATATGGATGTGAAAAAAAAAATTTGTTTTATTTAAAACATTTTGACGTTTGGAAAATAAATAAAAGTAGGAATACTCTATCAAGGGTATCAAAAGACGTATACAATTTTAATGTACCGTAAGGTATTTTTCATTCTTTACGATAACATTTTGTCTTAAAATCTATATTTTAGTGCAACAGCTTAGAATTTTATAAACAATCATAATCAAAATCGCTGTTGTTAGTTATCGAAAAATAACCAAGATGTGATTTTTGCGTAATGTCCTAAACTATACAAATTACTATTATCCATCCATACTGAATGTTTCTTCATCATGTGTCCCTTTTTCGATTTCTAGAGAACTGTCGTTGTCGAAATCTATCAGAATCTTGTCAAGCGAGCTTCTGAATGTAACAAAGAAACACCCATCTGGTGACCCAAGCCTCAAAGCAGTGCTCACTTTTAGTGCGGGTTGCCCCCCTCCTTTCCTACCTCGGTACGGGGGGGGGATCCAGGGCACGAGACTGTGTATCGAAATTCAAAGATATGGTCTTTTTATTTTTTTATATATTATTGCTGGTGAATTTTATGATTTAAGTGTGAAGAACATATTTAATAAACAAAGGTAACACACAAAACATTTTTTAAAAAAGGCCCCTTTGGGTGTAATATAAATCTGAAAACTCAGATTTTTTTAGTATACTTTCTATATGGTCAGTAATGTAGCTCTTTAACTGCCTTTTTACTTCGAATACATCTCAAACATTGAGCATTGAAACATCATTGATTTTACACCTGCTGAATAATTTATATCCCTGATCAGCCTGGTGAATCATTATTTATTATTTTTACCTTTCATCAGGCATGGCTATCAATGTATGGCAGCCTGAGAAATGACTCACACAGTGATGGTGAGCATGGTTACCATTCATGTTGGCATTACACTTGGCAGTGGTTAGACTTCATCAACTCCAATGTGAAATGTTAGGTCTGTTGGCCAGGACAAATTTAACAGAAATTTCTCTTTTCATTTGTAAGAAATAGGCTCTGTAGAATACTGATAGGACAGAAGTAGTGCATTTAATATTGTTTGAATTAAGAATAACCGATTTGTTATTCACATAAGCCCAAGACTAGTGCAGAGGTGCTGAGTGTCAGAATTTAGGAAAAAATATTTAGCATTTAAAGAACCACCAAGCAATAAAACTAAGCCATGGCAGGATCTTTATTTCAGGAGGATGTGAATGAGGAGTGTCTTTGTTGGTGACCTGCTTAATGTCTTTCTTAATTACCTAGTGTCTTTCTTACTTAGTGACTTATGCCTTAAGTTAGTGCTTTAGAGTTAATGGCAGCCTTTTATAGCACTCGTCGTGTGCCTCTGTTGACCAAGTGTCGCTATGTACAATTCGTCATACAGGTTATGGGACTAGTGGTCTCATCTAGGTAGTCTTTTTATGGTATGGGACTGCGCAGAAGACATCCCACTCGTTGATCAAGCGTCACTGTCAGCTATGTCTACGTGGGCTCACAAACATAGAGACTGGACCATGGAATAAGTGAAAGGTAGTTGCCTGGTCAGAAGAATCACGATTTCTCATTTATGCCGCTCCTTCCCTGTACAGCAGATCATATACTGGTTGCTTGCTGGTGGTGGAATGTGTGGGTTGTTCTCATGGGTGGCTTTGGGACCCTTGGTTGTAGTTGAACAAACCACGAAAGCTGCAGATCAGTTGCACCCATATATGGCGTCTGTCTTCCCAACTGAAAAAGAAATCCATGTCACAAAGCTTGATTTGTGCTGGAGTGATTCGAAGAGCATAAGTATGAATTCCAATTAGTCCTGGCACCTAACTCCCGGATCTTAACCCGATAGAGCACATTTGGGATGTGATGGAGCGGCAGCTCTGCATTCAAATCAATATCCTATGCATGTTATAAAATACTAATTAAAACTTATTGAAAAGACTGTAGTATGCTTGAGTCAGTTGCTATATATGGTTAGTACCTTATTTTTAAAGAAGAATTTTTAATTTAGAAAAAAGATCAACAGATTCCATCTCATTTTGAGGGGGTTTTCTCTGATTCGTAGTGCTTGATTTAATTTTTTCTAATTAAATACCCCTTCTTCCAGAATACAACATTTTTTATATAATAAAATAATTCTAGCATCAAAAAAATAATCTAATTCTATAGAAATTTTTTTTAGGTAGAGGAACATAATTTTTTAGTTAATAATATAAAAAAAATATATAATTTATATATTATAAAATTATTATAGTAGATTCATTGTAATAATAGTAAATATTGGGAAAATCTTCAAAAAAATAATAGTATTCATGACATACACTTATCAAAAATTAATTTGGGTTTATCAAAACAAATTAATGTTTAAAAACATATACTATTTTTCCAATCTGTAAATAAATGACACAAATTAATTTAAACAGTTTCAATACAAATGATGGTTAGCATATCGTATTGGATTACTTGCAGGAAAAATCAACAGGGAAAAAATCCCTAACACATGATTATTGTCCATCCTCCCTATTACCTAAATAAATCGGCTCGAATAGCGCATGTGTGTTTATGCTCCTGGTCGAAGTTAAACTATATCTACATTATCCACCATTAACATCAAAGTTTTCAACATATAAACACATAATTTTGCATATTAAAATATTTCATGAATGGCTGGTTATAAACCCTTATCTCCTGTATATAGAATGAATTATATGGAATAGGTCTTCAACACAGCATCAACAGTTTTGAAATTACATGATACTTCTTAGTGAAAATAACAAAATTTAATTTTTTTATACTGGCTCCTTGGATTCAGGGATTTTCAGTCTTCTTTATCTTCATTTCTGCACTGTACACTATAGATAAAATATCGAGTTTATTTTCAAAACTAAATTACTTTTTCACTTTTAAATGTATGTGACAGTTTTTCATAAAAAATTTTTAATTATTTGCTATCTCATTATCACTGCAGAAAATTACTACTTTCTGTACCTTGCTTCCTGAAGCTGCGCTCCATTGCCTACCACTTTGCTATAAAGTAACTGAATGAGCAAAAAGATATTCACGTGTCTCCTTGGTTAGGATCCTTTTATCATCTGTATCACCTAAAAAACTTTATAAATTGTTCTTATCAATTATACAGTTACTTATTATTTGCCAATTTTGAATGAACTTTCTCACTTTGAAATGTTTCAAAAAGTTGTGCTTCTTTTTGGGGAGAGGGTATCCTTTTAAACCTGTTAATGAAATAAGTTTGTAAGGTTTATTCAAGTTTTGGACTCTCATATTAGCCCACTGCACAGCTTCACTGTATATGCTCAACTTTGTATAAGGCATGAATAAGTTCCCAAAGAAACTGAACAAATTCACAACCCAGTTTACAGATTGGACTTAATAATCCCAAAGACACCTCACAGAGTGTGGGGCTGTTGCAAATTGACATCTAATAAATAGAGTGTCAGAGCTAAGTAGAAACCAGCAGGGTTCATAGCAGACCTTATAAGTGCTTATAAGTCCTTATATTTGAAAATAAAATATAAAGGCTCTTATAGGTGTTTACTTTTTCTTTAAAGCCCTACTTTTTTGTTAGTTTTTGCTTTAGCCTACCAAAGCGAAACTAAATGCAACTTTTCTTCCTAAATGAGAATTCCTCTTTAATACTCCCTGGAATTAGCTTTCCCCTTTCCGCTTTTCATTAACATAACCTTTAGTGTGCACGAAGAGTAGACAGGTTGTCCGTCGTTCTATGTCAATGAAATGCGAAAGCAGTAGAAAATTCCAGTACATTCGGCATTCTTTCTCCCACCCAAATACTACACACGTCTGAATCTATCACTCTTAATAATTTGCATTCTCGTTCCGCTTGGTCAGTTCATATTCGTGTTTATTATGATCGTTATGCTTATATTATGAGCATATGTATGAATGTTTAATACATAGTTGCAGTAACTACTGAAGTATAGTAAACTTTCACAAATGGTTTTGTTTTAACACAGATTAACTTTCTAAGGAATAATATTCGGAATGGCTTAAATAAAGGGAAAGAATAGCGTAGTCAAATAATATTTTTTTTTTTTTTTTTTTTTTTTTTTTTTCAATTACATTATACAGTACGAAGACTGGGAGGTTCTCCTTTCTCTGCAAAATCTCGAATGTTTGAAACTATTACTTGCAAACAACGCAAAACACCAACGGAACTTTTTTTTTTTTGTCACTTCCAATCTGGATTGAATAGGACTAAAAGTTTCTGCGGTCTATCAACCCAAGCGAAGAATGATTCTATTCCGGAAATTTAAACACGTGGTCTGTTGAAAATTAGAATGAAAAAAACCCCAGTTATTTAGTTCTTAATTCTCCAATACCAGCAGCTGTTGATTCCAATTGTGTAATATCACGTAGGGAAGAATTACGGCGAACATATTGTGCAATAACGTTTGCGATATTTTGCAGAGATAATTAATTTTGATGTTCTGTCCGAGATTTGTTTATGAACACATAAAAGAGTTTTACTGTGCTTGCTAAGCAGAATATTTTTCAGTTCCATTGGTTTATTTTTATATGATGCGCATATCGAAATGTCAAAAGCATTTATATAGGGGAAAAATTTAAAGAGTGGCTACAGTCTACCCGCCACTCCTCTTTTTCAAGTTACGCTCGACTGTCCGAATATTCGCCAATTTCCAAGTATGCAGGTTAGTTAAGCTTTTACTTAACTGTTAAAGGATGACTGCCTGAAGCAAATTTCTGTCTTCCGATTTCAGAAATGTTCCTTTTTTTTACTTAAATTACTTTGCTTGCAATATCTGTTAAGGGAAAACTGATATACATGAAAATTTTAGAAAATGTTCAGAATTTAGATTTAAATTATTTAATTATCAATATGAGTGGAAACAAAATGTATTATTATTAGTTTCCAAGTGAATACAATAAATATCCTTATTTATTTTCTCTATTTTGAACTGAAATTTCATCATTAAATCTTGTAATATAGTTTAGTTCTGCAAAGTTTTTTTTTTTCCTCTCATTGTAAAACTAGTTCTGTAAATTGAACTGTTATTTATTAAATTTAAAAAAAGTATTCTCTCTTAATAAATTCTGAATTCTCTCATTTTAAATTAGTAGTCTAATTTTTTAAGGTTATGCAGTTGTGTATAATGTAATTAGACAGGTGCTTATTTTTTTTCTTAAAATGTGCTTATAGGTGCTTATTTTTTAACTAAAATGTGGCTATGAACCCTGACCAGACTGTGTATTTTATACCTGTACCTATATGGAATGAGCTGAGACTTCATTCATTATGAATACATAAAAGATAATATGCAAATGATAAATATTCAGGATTATAGAATATTTTTTATGTTTAACAAGGAAGAAAAAAATAATAACAAATAAAAGTGAAAAAGGTCTATCCAAATAACAATCAGAATCCCTGGGACTGAAATCACACCATGCAATCAAATCACAACAATTGTTAACACTAATTTGGAAATTATTTTTCATTCTGGAAATATCCTAAATAAGACAGTTTTGTGCATATGTGAAAAAACTTTATTTTCAAAAATAAATTATAGCTTTTTTGAACTGCTTTGAAACTTAGAGTGTAAATAAAGATCAACAGTTGATGACAGTTTGATGATCCAAAACACAAAATTTTATCATCAACAGAAAGTAATTAAATTTCTAGGGTAGTTCATTTAATTTGCATTTCTTGCAATCCTAGTATTTGCTGCTCAATTATTTCCTTTAAAATGTCTTTCCAGTCTCCCTGAAAATATCTATAAATCCTTGCAGTTTCATGTTAAATAACTAGATTATCTATACTCATTATTTAAACATAAAGAAAACTCTGTATATGAGAACTGTTTCATTTCTCTAATAAAAACTGCTTATCAAATATAAAAGTCCTTATTTTTCATTAATGAATTGTTAATCTTTCAGTTTGAAATTTTCTAAATATTATCTGCATATATAGTTATGTGGCACTTTTGTAGCAATAAGTTCTGTTTTGAAAAACTACATAATTTTAATTTCATTGAAAATTCCTTGCAGATCTACATAGTAAATTTGAAACTTCAGGAAGTGAAAGTATGGATGAAAAAGACAATTCAAATGCTATATCTGACAGGCATCAGAAGAAGAATTTCAAGCAGGAGGAGATCAAATCAAAAAGCAGTTGTGATATTTCTGAAAGAAGTCGTGTGAAAGATGAATCTAAGAAATCAGATAGTAATCATCAAAAGCATTCTAAATATACAGAAAGTTCTGAAAAGAAGGAAGAGAGAAAAGAGGAGAATAAAAAACATTCAACTGAACACTCCTCAGATAAGCATTCTGAAAGATCTAATAAAGCACACAAATCTCATGATGATGAAACAGTTCAAATAAAGAAAAAGAAATTAAAAAGTTCATCAAGCAGTTCAGAAGATGAAAGTAGCAAAACTAAAAAAGAAAAATACTCAAAAAAAAAGGAAGATAGCACAGAGAATATAAAAAGAAAGTATGAAAAAACATCCAATCCTGAAAGTTCAAAACAAATGAAAAAGGATCCCTTAGATTCAGAGATGAACAGTATTCAATCAAGTCAAGGAAGCGAGACTAGCAAACAGCTCGAACATCCCGATGGATTTAGTCATTTATGTCCTCAAGCTGTAATTAATGCTAATTATGAGAAAACTAAAGAAGAATACCAAGGTGATGTGCATGACCAATTTCGTCATGAAAATAGAGACAGACGGTCTCCGTCAATAAAACAGAAGTACAATCAATAGTATATATTAAAAAATTGATTATTCACCTGATTAACTGAAGCTTGACAAAAACAAATGCTGTATATATCAAAATTTTAACTACCTCTATGAGATTCACATTTTACATATTTTCAATCCTCATTTATTGAAAATTGAAAGGTGAACATTATGTACACATCATATACATCATATTAAGATTACAGCTTAGATAATATATTTCCTTGCAGCTCTTAGATAATATATTTAAGTTATTCTTGATCATACAGTTTCATATTATCTAAGCTGTTTCACATTATGAAATTGCAGTTAAATGTTTACTATAAAACAACCTACATATACATGTAAACCTTTTGTAATCATCATTCATCTCTGAAAGTAATTAGATTTTTCAATATAGAGAAGTGAATGAGGATGTTGCTTTAAGTTAGGGCTCTTGTATTAAATTTTGTTCCAATATTCATTTGTTAATATTATGTTCTTGTAAAATATACTTCCTTATCATTACCTCTGTATTCTAAAGAATTCCGCAGCAATAAATCTGTAGAAAGTATATAATAAAATCATTATATATTCTAAGAAAACTTTGTATATAATATTTGAGCTTTTTAATGTACAAAATATCTAGTCTTTGGCCCCTTTTTTATTAGTATTACATTACATTAAGCTGTTGGGAGTACTTACTATCATCCAGGCAATCTGTCAATTCACTTTTTAAATTAATATTTCACAGTACTTAATCTATGCAGCTTAAAAGGAATACATATGCTTCTTAATAATTTATACCTTCATTTTACAGTAAACCCTTATTAATACAAACTGTAGTATGTATAACTGTCTATGAAGTCACCTGCTTAATACAAAAAATATGTCTTTCTTTGCAGCAGCTGAAAGAAAATTTTTCAGAATGTATTCTTGAGAAATATAAAAGTTTAGCTTTAGAATAAATATATTATATAAATTTGAGCAGAAATGAAAAAAAATATTAATCAACTCAATAAAAAATCTGATTTTTTCAAAAATATGTGTTCACTGTAGAAATTAAAGAAGTGTTAGAGATGGCTAATGTTCAAAATGAAATGCAGCTACCTAAAATTAAATGAAAAATTTTCTGATTTTCAGTTTCTAATTGACAAAAAATTAATGTTATTGGATTTATGTAGTATAAAAGGCAACAGCTTAACTTCTAACTTAAAGGCAACAACATAGCACTCAAATATCCAATTGACATAAACACTGCAAAAATTCAGTCAGAAATATTTACTTTTACAAACCTGTTTCTATAATTCTAGACACTAGAACAGATATAAGCTTTACCATTTAAAAATAACTCATGAATGTAATTAAGTTCAATTATACCCGAACTTGCAAGCAGTATTAAGAATATTTTTACGTGGCCAGATAATGTTTCTAGTAGGGAAAGGAGATTCATCAAACTTAAAATAATAAAAAAAAAAAAAAAAAATATCTCTTGATCAAGAAAAACTTTTAAACACAGCCATTTTATGAACACATTTTCAAGCATCGCCACTCCGTTTCAATATGGCTATTCAATAAACATAGCTATTCTATTTCAAATATTGCCATTCTGTGGAGCTTTGAAATTAACTGAACAAGTTGATTTTAAGCAAATTATTGATGATTTTTCTTCATTAAACACAAGAAAAATTAAATTATCAAAAATGCTTGAAAAAATAAAGGTGATGCTTTGTACACTAACTGCATTACTATATGTACTATTTTCGATGTTATTTGCCATTTATTGGGAAGGAATTTTTTTAAGCTTTTCATTTCAAAACTAAATTATTGTGTCATTTTTCTGAAATTTTTTAAAAAGCTAATTAAATGAAAAATCTGATTTTCAGTTTCTAATTGACAAAAAAATAATGTTACTGGATTTATGTAGTATAAAGGCAACAGCTTAACTTCTAACTTAAAGGCAACAACATAGCACTCAAATATCCAATATATAACTGATAGCATTAATTATAATAATAAAATTAATTAATTAATTATTACTAGTAGGCAATGGCCAAAGCAATATATATAAGTTTTGTGTACTAAAAAACTGAAAATAAACTATTAATTTAATGTACTGTATACAAAGTTGCTAGCTGCAAGCAAAGTTCTACGAGGGTAAGGTAAAACGTTCTCGGCCTGACCAAGAGATGGCGCTCCAATCAGCAAAAATTTAAGTTTCCTGCCTGGGTGCATTTGTCATTAGTTCGTATGACAAGTTTCAACTTAATCTCTCAAGTAGTTTGTTTACATGAATTTTTGCAGTAGACGTCTTACGTGTTATTTGTTAAAATGGATAAACTTGAATACTGTGCAGTCGTAAAAGACTTAAGCTCTAAGGAAATCCATCCGAAGTTTGCTGGGACTCTGCTCCTTCCATGTCAACCGTTCAAAAGTGGGCAGCTGAATTTAAACGTGGTCACGTATCCCTCGAAGATGACTCATGTGGAGGACGACCAAAAACTGCAACCACACCGAAGATCATCAAAAAAGTGCATGATATTGTGTTGAACGATAGGCGAGTGTAGGTGTGGGGATATCGGAAGAAAGGGTGCGAAACATCTTGCATAAAGAATTTGGATGTGAAAGCTCTGTGCAAGTTGGGTGCCGCATTTGCTGAATATTGATCAAAAGTTAAATGCGCAAATGATTTTCGCAGCAAGGAAAGATTCAACAGGGATCCTACCGATTTTGTGTGCCGATTTGTCACTATGGAAGAGACATGGGTTCATCACTAACGCCAGATACGAAACAACAGCCCAAGCAGTGGATGGAAGCAGGAGATTCAGTGCAAAAGAAAGCAAAGTGAATCACATGTGCTGGAAAGTCTGTTTTGGGATGCGAAAGGATCCTATTGATTGATTACCTTACAAAAGGGAAAACAATTACAGGCAATATTACTCCAACCTTCTTGACTAGCTGGATGCCAAAATTCGTGAGAAAAGGCTTGGCTTGAAGAAGAAAAAAAAATCACATTTCACCAGGACAATGCAACTGCATAAGGGTGCGTTGGCAATGGGAAAACTGCAGGATTTGGGGTACAATTTACTAGGCCATCCTCCCCCGTATTCTCCTGATTTGGCATCCTCAGACTTCCGAAACTTGAAATAGTTTGTTTCTGGGAAGCACTTTGCATCCAATAAAGAAGTCGAGAGGGTAGTAGATTAATATTTTCACAACCTTCTAGACTCTCACTTCCGAGAAGGAATACTAATGTTGGAGAAATGTTGGACCAAGTGTGTTGAAGTCAGGAGAGATTATGTAGAAAAATAAAATCATTTTTTAACTGAAAGTTGCAGTCTTTCATTATCAGGCTCAGAACTTTTCACCTTACCATCGTATGTACACCTGAAAAAAAAACTGCATGAAAAACATTTCAATATGAATGAAATCAGTTCATTTTTTCCAAGCAACAAACAATTTATAATTTTTTTGTTGATAAAGCAGGAAACAAAAACTTTTGACTCATCAGGTTAATACAGATGTATATGGCATCATAATTTAAATTTCATGCAATATATCTACTTTTTCTCAATATCAATAAAAGAATTAGCATGGCAATAACATACTGTGTCAATTATCTTAATCTGAAACAAAAAAGTTGCCAACGACAAAAGATTTTCGATAGACAGTGACGCCACATGAAACCGTGTGCTTTTCTTCAATGTCAGAACATGACCTTATATAATAATATATTTAATGTTTGGCAAACCTATTTTTGTTTCATATTTTGTAAAGCTTACAAAATTTTTATTAACAAACTTTACGATCTGAAAGTGAGCAGTAGCAACACCTTTTGAAATAAAGCAGATTTTTTATCTCCAGCGTGCAAGATTGTTGCCACTCGGAAAAATTAGGGTGAAAATTAGTATTTTCAGTTTTTAATCAATATCTCGCAAAATTTTGGAATCCAGAGGTACTGCATTACACACAAGACTGTGCACTGATATCTTTGACTCAGGTTGAAAAAAATGTAGGCATGGTTCTGTACGAGACTAAGCTTTTTGAAACAAAAGTGGAGTGAGTAAGTAGAAAAATTATCTCCTAGAGTTTGTACACATTTTCTGAATCCATCTCCTTAAAGGAATCTTGAAAAATCTGGGGTTGTACTGCTGGAAGGATCAATGAAAAATGAAGATTATAATTGCCTCCTAGAATTTTAAAAGTTTGTAAAGGTAGAGGCGGGTATGTGTGCTAGTGCTTAATTCATACTGCTGGAGGACTTTATCAAAGGCCAATCCAACTGATCTATCTTTTCTAAATTGAAAGTGTAATATTGCATTTATTTAAAGTGCATTGTGTGTAATATTTGTTTATGCACATCAAAATTATACTAATTTATATTTACTTCAACATTCATTATTGATGTGTAAAATTGATAAATCTTAACAGAGTACAGGTGAGATGTGCTGCAACTTTTCATCGTAACAGGGTGCTGTGGCTCTGAAAGAGAATATTCTATATGTGTACATTATGTAACAGTTGTTGCATTGTTGCTGTGTTACTGTAATGTATCTTTGAAGTCTTTCATTAAAATATGAAAAGGCAATGTAGTCGCTAAACTTAGTCTTACCCAAATCAAGATCATTATTAATAACCATCAGCGATAAGTCATCCAGCCTGAAGTTGCATTTTGAGTTAGACAGTAAACAGTAAATATTTACTTTTGAAGTAGACTACTTTGGAAACAAAGTGGCATAACTCAAAAACCAGCAGTTTAGGGGGAAAAAAAAAATCCAAAATTTAACCAAAGTTTAGCTAAATATGAAAGCTATTAACTAATAAGTGACACCTTTTCTATTAATGATACAACATAAAAAATATACCACATTTTTTTTTATTGTGACATAAGCGAACCAATCGCATTTTTTGAGCTATGTTGGTTTTCTTCGAAATTCGCGAGTTAGACAGTTAATAAATATTAGATTAATAACGAAAAAGCCGATAGTTTGCCATTTTGAGAATTATTAGACAATGAATAGTTCTGAGAGAGTTAATAGTTAGAAAATTAATAGTTAATTAATTAATTACTAGATAATAAATAATTTCAAATTTTAAAAATGGTATAATTTGAGTAACAAAACTGATTGCTTTTTTTGTGTGTGTGTTTATATTGCTTTCATTGTTATTGTTTACATTTTATATATACCCAACAAACAAGAACAACTAAATTCTCTTACCTGTAGAGCACTGAGACAGTCATGTCACTGATCTCTACAATCTATCTCCAAAGCTGAACCTGAGATTCAGCATTCCGTAGAATGAAAATGAAGACAAGCTCATGGATATGATGGAATTCTTGCTATTACAAACGTCATAAGGTGACACAGTGACAGAATTTCTGAAGTGAAGAACTGTAAAGTGACGTATCTAATGCACCGATAACTGATCAAGAAAATTTAAGTACCTATTAAAACCTGACTTATATCATTAAAAATTGCTTGGGGATTACCTTTCACTAACTGATGACTGCTAATAAGACCTATGGTCTTCAGTGGCTCAGTGGGCACAGCTTGTTTCCAGTTTCCATGGCGACATTTTGGCAAGGCAGTTTTCTATAAAATGTATGAAATACTGAGGAAGGAAAAAAATACGATATGAAAAATTAAATTTATAAATTAAACTATCAGCTTGCACAGCCAGCTGATTAGAGTTAGTTAATAAATGATTAATTTTTAACTGTCAGTTCAGTAATAGTTTAATCAGTAAACTGTAATTTTGAGAATCATTAGACAAAGAATAGTTTTGAAGCAGTTCATAGTTAGACAAATTTTAATCACTAGACAATAAATAGTTTTTAGTTTTGAGAATGATTAGACAGTGAATAATTTTGAACAGTCGGCTGTTACAGAATTAACAGTTTGAAAACAGTAGTTTAATAATACTTAATAAACATTTAAAAATTACAATTACACAATTAGTAGTTTAATTAAGTAGACAGTTAATCATTACGAAATAGCACTCACCATTTTAAGGATCAATAGTTTTGACACAAACTATTAATAAAATTAAACACAAATAGTAATTAATACTATTGAAAATAGTTATACAAATAATAATTAATACTTTTATAATAATTAATGGCTAGACACTAAAAGCTAAAAGGGTTAGCAATTTTGCAGTAGGAGTATAGTACATGTTACAGAACGACCATCATGCACCCTATCATCCAACTCTTGAATTAAACGCAAATTAGAAATGAAGCACATAATATTTGAGCCACTATCAGAACTGCAAATTTATATTGAAAAATAGAATAGCTTAATAAAAATAATATAGTCGAGAAGAAGTAAGGTGATCCATATTTCATATTTCATATTTAATTGTTATAGAATAAAATACTTTTGTGCGCAAAAAAAAATTAAATGCTTTAAAATATTTTACTTCATTCCAGGACTTTTCAAAGCATGATTAGAATGCATTATCACATTAAAGAGCGTGTACAATGAGATGCAATATTCACTATAGCTCACTGGGTACTTACATATTAATGCAACCACCTTGGCGCAATTTGGCATTTTTTTACAGATAAGGTAAAAGTTACTACTTACTGGGTGAAAATTATGGCGGTTTCTGCGACTTGCTATAACTCTTGGTATTTATCGTAAGTCGGCAAACATTATCAACATATGAAAAAAAGCACTCTTTAGCAATTTAAAATGCAGATTTTAATTATAAATAATAATTACACAATATATTAAACAATAAAATATATTCTTCTCTAAATATTTCTGTCATTTTTTTGCTCTATTCTTCTTCCCAAGTATACAGCGATCTGTTTTCACTTCATCAGATATTTGGCAACAACGACTCTACCAAAAGCATCTCGTCGTCGCACCCTTTAGAAATTTTGCGGCAAAATTTTGTATTGCTGCCGAAATTTTGCTACAGTTCCTACCCCCCCCCCTTTTTGGCAAAATCCGCAAACTCATATTTTAAAGTAAAGGATACATATCATGGATTTGTTTATAAAAGCCACTGGGACTTGGAATACTACAAAAAGAACGCACACGAAAATGGTGACATTGCTTGACTTGGATTGTCAGCAGCATGGTTGCATTGTATTGGGCTGTCAGCCGAGCCACAGTCTGGCGCCGATTTTGCTTCACCAAGAGGGATAGTCTCCGACGTCATTTTTCATTGATGACGCGTGGACATCCAACAGATTGGTGTCTACTGTTGGTTTCACAGTCATTTATCCACTTTACATAAATAATAACAACGGCACATCGTAAACAACCTACCAGTCATGCAGTTTCGGAGGTAATCGTTCCGAGTCTTCCAGCCATTACAATCTGCCCTCTATATCAAATTCGCTTAGGTCAGCAAACTATATGACTATATTCGCTTAGGTCAACAGACTTTTTTCATCACTCCCAAAGTGCAAGAATAATCCCTTCTCCAAACAGCAGTTAAATACCATTCCCACTTAATCATCATCCAGACACAATTCCCACTTAATCACTTGCCCTCCACATCATCCAGACACAATTCCCACTTAATCCTTGCCCTCTACGACATCCAGACAAGTTCGTTGAGTAATGTGAGGATGGTCAGAATGTTTTGGCTCGTCATTGTATAATGATTTGGTAAAAAAATACTTATCGAGCTCAAGCTGGCGATTTTGGAGAATTTTTTTTAAAAAATCACCAAACTATCAATATTTATTTCACTCTGCAAACATCATCAATACATCAAAATAAAACAAATTTCAGCAACTTAAAATACAAACTTTAACTATCCAACAAGGATTATGATGCATGAAAAAATAAGACACTTACCTTTTTCGAGAAATTCTTGTGTGATTTTTCTGAGCTGTTTTTCTTGTCATTTACCTAGCCATACGTTTTCGCTCAAGAAAATATCGGAAAACTGCACAAACTCGGCAAACTTCTTCACTGTTCACCAGCCATGACCATGATTGCCAAACAACAGTTAAAACTTCAGTTAATGTCCTCCAGTGAAATAGTCTAACCTAATTAAAATAAAAGAGCTATTCTAATACCATCGCTTAAAAATATGCTATTTTAAAAATAACCAGTAGCAATCAAAAACAGAGAATATATGACAAAGAGAGAAATATCCGACAATTCCGTTGTTTCGAACGATCCAGATATAATTGTGCTGGAATAATATTCTCTAGGATAAATTAAAGAACTGTCAAATTTTGCATGCACCCGATACTTCAATTTAGCCAATACAGATGGCGGCCACTAGACGTTATAGGCCTTGGTCACTACTAAAGTCGGAAGCGGTGGTCACTTTATTCTGGAGGCACCTAACAGGTGGGCCATCATTTTCTCCTATGGAAGAGCAGACAATTTACATCCACCCCTTCTCCATTCAGGTTTGAATCCATCCGGGATTCAAATCTGGGCCCTTTGGTACGGCCAAAAAAAATTTTTAAAGAGATTTTTAAATCTGCTTTTAATGTTAGACCTTTAATTTTGCTAATTTAACATCCAAAGTCCAAACAGCCGAACACCTCTATACTGTGGCCCATATGCTCTGTAAACAGTACTCTCTTCCACTAACGGAACAGGGAAAAAAAAAAAAAAAAAAAAAGAATATTTCCAATTTCCTGGAGAATTATTCCAAATAAACACAGCCTGATTAAATTATGGCATTATTTGACAAAATCTGTTTTATATCTTACAAGACAAAAATACATAAAAACTCAAAATGTCTGTATTGAAAATTATGAAGTAAATCTTAAACATTTATTTCCTCGAATAAATTCCAGAATGGATTAAGCATAATTTAATTCGCAATAATAAAAGGAGGCGTTATCTTTGTTATTGCGAAGCTTACTTTCTCTAGGTTGGCAACAAATCTACTATTCTGCTCTTTCAAATGTAAAAAAACATGGCCGCCATGGAAAAAATTATTAGGCTTAACGGCATTTAAACAACTTTTAAATTGTTGATAATTCTAAAAATATTGCATACAGATTTACTAAAGGCATAAAAACTTTAAAGGAAGATAAAAGCAAAAAATGCACAATTTACAAACATATAAGAATAAAAAAACTGAGATCACTGAAATGAGTAACAGAGTGGCTATATATATACATATATATTTATATACTTTTTGTGCGGCCGATTGCCACCAAAATTCGAAGTGCACATCTACATGCTATAGCAGTCCCATATTCAAAATTTCAACGTTCTGAGGCTACGTTTTTGAGTTATGCGAGATACGTACATACGTTCGTACAGACGCCACGAAAAATTCTCTTCAGAAGTCATTTTAACACCACGAAAAATTATGCGAGATACGTACATACATACGTACGTTCAAATGTACGTACGTATCAAAAAACGTACACGTACGTTTTTTGAGTTATGCGAGATACGAACGCACAGACGCCACGAAAAATTATGCGAGATACGTACATACATACGTACGTTCAAACGTACGTACGAACAGACGCCACGAAAATTTCTCTTCAGAATTCATTTTAAATCAGTTTCACAATTTTTGTGGGAAAAAGAGTCCTTATTCTGTCCTGACGTACAGATGTCACGCAAAAGCACCGTTAAAATTGCATTTAATAGCGGTTAAAAAAAAATGGATATTGCGTTGAATATGATGGCTGACACTTTTCGCGATTACAATACTCCCTATTTACTTCGTACAAGGAAGTAAAAAGCAGCATTTTATCTCATATTTTAAAGTCATCAGAAAGCATTGAATGGAAAACTGTTGCCAAAACCACATTTCTAAAAGAATGAAACTATTTAAAATGATGCAATAAAATCGGAAAGATAAAATTTTTAAAAAATCTTATTCGAATTTTGAAAAAATCGCCTCGAGGTGCACTGACCCTTGCCCAGATGCACCTATATACCAAGTTTCGTAACCTTGGGTCTATTAGCTTACGCGCAGCACGAACGAAAGGCACACAGACATCCTATGCTACAGGCTAAAGCATTCTTTTCATAACCCAACATTACAGACTGGGCAACTCATCTTTGTTCTTTTCTCTATGTTCGTTTGTGTACAACGGGTACGGCGACATCTCGATTTTCCAACTATTGGAAGATGATCCCCCAAACATTCAGAAGATTCTAAGTACTTTTTAACCCGGCATTAATCTTTAAACCTTTAGTGGGGACATATGTAATTCTCGTTAGTAGTCAAAAGGTTAAGCTGCAAGTGCGGCAACCTTACATTATCGTAACCTACTTAGTTTATTCTTTCTGGACAAAGACTTGAAAAGAGCGATCCGTCATAAGAGCAACCCGTCATGCCATTTTTTTAAGTCTCCAGAAACACATTTCACGAAAAGCCAATTTTATTTCAGACTACTTCTATTTCATGCAATTGCTCACATATGGCCGAGCGATAAAACTGTTGAATACTCGTAAGTCGATCTGGGTAAAATTCCTAGCTACCGGAACGGCTGCATGGGAATTTTCATGGTTTTTCCCCATGCGCAACGTAAATACCAAACACTTCTGACTTCAGTAGTCCTAACTGAAGAAAAGTTTCAAGCAGTTTAGTATCATTTGTTGTTTGTGACAATTTTTTCTGTAAACCATATAGTGTACTTTACGATATGCTTTTCCCTGCACGAACAAAAGATTCCCATGAGCATTTAGAATATTCTCTTTGCGATTGCTGTCATGCTTATCGAACTAGTATTAAAAAATCTGACGTGGACAACACATGACTTCTTTGTATGGCCTATTAAATTACACACATTTTTTGCGACATTTCATTTACACTTATTTCCTCGAATTTCATTAGAGATAGATTTGTCCTTCAATTAATTCAGTTCGCACTTCGTGACAAAACAAAAATATATAAAAACTCAAAATTTCTTCATTAAAATTTATAAAATACAGAAAAGCATAAAACACCAAATACAGATTAAACAGTTAAAAAAAATTAATTAAAATTAGAGTTTCTACGCAAAAACAAGCAAATCGGACAACGGGCAAGAAGGCAGATTTTTCGGTGTTCAAACACTGAAGACACTGAAGGTGAAGAAACTGACGTAATTCACTATTCTACTGACTTTCAAATGTAAACAAATGGCGGGGCGTTAGGATGAACTCGAAATTTTTAAATTTTTAACAATTCTACTACTATTGCATGCAGATTAACTAAAAGCATAAAAACCTTAACCAGAACATAAAAATCACGTAATTCAATCACTTTTAAAGCCAAAAATGCACAATTTATCAGCATATAAGAATAAAAAAACTAAACTCACCGAGCGAGGTAATAATCGTACATATATACATTTATGTACGATTGGTGCAGCCAATTGCAACTAAAAAGAAAGGTGCACAATTACATGTTACAGCAGTCCCATACACAAAATTTCAACATTCTACGGCTACTCGTTTTTCGGCTATGCGAGATACATACGTACGTAAATACAGACGCCAAAAAAATATTTCTTCTGAATTCATTTTAAATCCATTTTACAATTCTTTATGACAAAAACAGTACTTTATTTTGTCCGTACGTACAGATGTCACTGTAAAGACATTAGGTATTTTTTGAAAGCAGGAGAGATGAAAAATGAGCAATGCCCTCGCCGGGACTCAAACCACGGACCTCTCGAATACGCGCCGAGTGCGCTGACCACTACATCACGAAGACATGCTAAGAAGGCACGAGAAATACCTTATATCACGCATAAACATCCTTCAAATGGTTTTGAGAGCAGCTGAAATGGATATTTTCGTTGAAATATCATACCCCAAATTTTTCATGATTACAATACTTCCTTTAGCTCGCACAGTGAAGTAAAAATATGCATTAAAAAGTTATGGTCAGAAATAAATATAAAATTCTATATGTGGCTGTTGGCATACTTTTCCCGGATGGTGTGGCGCACTTCTCAAGAGCCATATGTGACCCCAGAAGCGCAGAAGGTTTGAATCCCTATTATTAAATTTAAAGCAGCCGAAGAATAAACAAAAACTTTGTTAATGCATAAGACAAAATGATTTTTTAAAGTTTTCTTAAAAGACTAATCAACAGTTGTAAAATAAATTAAAGGTTGAACATTTCAAAATGCTGCCGCAATAAATAGTACATTTGTTTTAATCACGATAGAAATAAATTGTTAATCGCTTTCAAAAAAATATACTCATAATAGCGAGGGTTACAGGCGAAAACATCGCTGGTGAAAACGTCGTCGCACAAAACATAGTGGGAGAAAACATTGCAGTTCTAAAAATATCGTGAGTGCAAAACATCGTTGTCGTAAATAAAGCTATTTAAAATCTTCGCAGTTTAAAATCGTGTAAACAATAAAGCACCTACAAATCGCCGCATGACAGTAACATCGCAGACACTATTGCATGATTCTGTATGTATAGCATGTAGAAAATACTAGGATTCAAAGAAGGATAAATTTGGAAACACATCGAAATTAATTTCAACAACGTCAAAATATAACTGAACGAAATCTAACACTACATTTTATGATTTGTCAGACCATTTCAGCAAAGATTGAGACTATGCACATATTTTTCTGCACGAAAAGAAAGCGATTTTGATGAAAAGGGGAGCATGTTTTAAATATTTAGGAATCAAGAAGCATGTTTCAGTCTTCTGCAAAAATATAACAACTTTGAATATTACGTTGGTTATATTTACGACCGCAGGTCCCAAAAAAGTTATATTTTCTCCCTCCTTTCCGCATGCCTTCGGGATGTAACTTCGAGCATCTGAGTCCCGGCCAGGGCACACGAATCCTGCTTCAAATAATAATAATAATAATAATAATAATAATAATGACTTTACAAATAACGCCTGAACTAAAAGACAGTGAAAGATAATTCTTCACCACCAAGATTTGGCGATTGCGTCCCGTAATCCCCACACACCCTTTAAAATGGGGGGGTTATGTAAAGTACGAGTATTTTCTTTCGTTGCGTAATTCGAAGCATACTCGACGAGTATTCGAGAAGTCCAGGGTTCGAGTCCCGGAGACAGCATTGCATATTTTTC